TGGTTTGAGCTTGAGCTCTAAATGTCAAAATGTCTAAAGGTTTCAGGTTCAAATGCAATGAGTAATAAAAATCCATTTGTGGTCATGGAGGTTCAAATGCGGTGACTTCAGACTAGAGATGGCCAAAAACCGGTCCCGGGCCGGTCCCAATCGGTCCTCACCTTTCTCATAACCGGCCATAACCGGTCCCGGTCGAAAATGATAGGACCGGTATAGGTACTTTATAACCGGTTATGGGCCGCCGGTCCCGGTCCCAACTGGTCCCAACCGGTCCTTGAATTAAAAAAATAAGATTTTTATTTTATTTTTTTAATGATATATATTTTTAATACATTATAAAATTTACAATTGGGTCACTCAAATACACTTTAAAAATGCGTTTTAATATAATTAAAATTACGTTTTCTTATGAAAATACATTATAAAATTATTTAAAAATACATTTATTTATAAAATTAATTGAATTTTCAGGCCGGGTCGGGCCGGTCCATAGTCGGTCCCATAACCGGTCCCGGTCCCGGTCCCGGTCCCACGAAACTACCAAAAACCCCAACCGGTCCCGGTTTTCGGTCCCATAACCGGTCCCGGTCCCGGGCCGGTCCTTTGTCGGTCCCGGTCCTGGTCCTCCGGCGGTCCCGGGCCGGGCCGGGCCCATTTGGCAATCTCTACTTCAGACTACCCGGAAAGCAGGTGGTCGTTCTATGATTAGTCGGCTTGCATAGCGGATTGGATATATAGGTTAATAAAAAAAAGTTTAAATAGAAATTATCATATTTCATGAAGAGATTATATAACACTTATTAAAGTTTAACGGTTAGCTTAATAGGATCAGGTTCCAGTGAGATTGGAAGTTATGGTGAGAAACGTAATAATAGATATCCATCCTTAGATCAATCTTGATTGAATGTCAACATTAATGAGGTGCACCGAGATGTACCAGATTAATTTTTTTTCTTTCTAAAACACAATTCATGGACGTGCATGAAATTAAAAGTGATCAAGGATCTAGATCTCTTCTTACACTTCTCACCATAACTTCCCTTGTCACACAGTTCTTCGCCTAGCTTAATACGCAAGAATTATTTCAGGTTATAATTATCAATTGATTTTAATTTAAGGAAATGGAATAAATTAATTTTGCTAACATTTTTTGTCCTCAGTATTATAATTTTATTCATTTATGAATCGCTTAAATTTAGTTATTTTTGTCATACAACTCTATTTCAAGTGTCGATAATCAATTTTACAACTTGCGTCGAAGCAAATTAAAATAAATATATTTTAAATATTTGTATGTTTAATAATTTCACACTTTTTCCACGACAACAATTCAACATGAACCATGAGGCTTTTGTCAGAGATCACCGGTTCGAGTCCTACAAGATCACTCGTAATTTTCTTGTTTGTTTTCCATGATCCTTGGAATTAGTCGAGGAACTCATTAATTAGGCAAGACATCCATGATTAATATATATATATATATATATATATATATATATATATATATATATATAGAGGAGCGATCAAATGAAAACCACTCCAATTTGTAAAAACCATAAAAACTACTCTCATCCGTCGTTAATCTTATGAAATTTTTTTCATGAAATTGTTAATCTTGTGAAATTGTTTCATATAATACTTTTTTTGATGAAGTTGTTTCATATGTGGGTATGAAATTGTTTCATATACTACTTAATGGAATTTTAATGAAACTGTTTTATGTATTTCTCTAAAATTATAATAATGATGATGATAATATCCATGATTAACACCCTCCACAATAAAAATGGTTAACCAACCTCTCATAATTACAAAAAAAATGAACAAAATGAAAATTATGATTGGTTAAATGAGGTTTTCACGGTTTTTACAAATTGAGTGGTTTTTATTTGAACCCACCCATATATATATATATAGGTGTGTTATTATACAATCATTTACATTTGTACAATCAATACAACTCAATCTCAACCGTCCATTTAATTTGATGAATATGTAATCTGATAGAAGTTTTGATTGTTTACTAATATAAAGTATTGATAATAATTAATGAACTTTATTCATTTTTCATAAATATTTAAATCATAATAAATGAACTCTCATCATTTTCATAAATATTTCAATTTATTGGGTTGTATTGGTTCTACAAATATAATGAGTTGTATTTGAAACATACTTTCTCTCTCTCCCTCTCTCTCTCTCTCTCTCTCTATATATATATATATATATAAAGATAAGTGTTATCAATATTTTAAATGGTTTTAAATAGCTTGTTATGACCTTGCTATGACGTCAAGACTTGGATTCGCCGCCACATTAACCCCTATGATTCCACTCTAAGGTTTGGCTTCATTGCAACGCATTATGGTGCATTACGACGCGTTGTGGCGTGTTACGTCGCATTGTTTTGTAAGGTGTTGGTTATTTTTAATATATAACTTGAGAGGTAAATGATAACCATGTACGAGATCTAATATTTAAATAAACAAAAAAAATGGAACACAAAAACAAAAATTTTAAATAGGTAAATACTTACACCCATCTCCGTACATATAGTCAAACACAAATTATTTGAAAATTGAAGATAACAGTGAGTAGAGATTCAAAAAAATTTAATCCCGATTTTGCGCTGTTTGATATAAATTTTTGTCAATTGTTCTCCTTTATTTTTTAGTTTTATTTCTTTATATGAATTTAATTTGTTTTAGAATATCATTCAAAACACTAATATAAGCAAGTATTGACATGTGTATATGTATGCCGCCTCTGACACGTCTTAAAAAATATCATGTCCTCATCGTAATTCCCATTTGATTTACAAGAAGGATTTAAATTTCAAATTCATTTAAATTTCATGTTTGGTTTGATGGATTGTATTAATTTGAAATCATATGACTTAATTAAAAACCATCTAAAAACCTTTATGTCTTGTCATGACGTGAAAACAACAATTTAAAAATAATAAAATAGGTTGCGTAAGGAAAGGGCCAAAGAACCTGAAGGGAAAGTCTTCTCGTACAAAGTCGTGTTCCACGGCCCCTCATTAGATCCAACGGTGCACAATCTCTCCCCAACCACGTGGACGGTTGATCCGCCCTCCTCGCACCACTCGTTTTGTCTTCACATCCTTCCCTCTAACCCGCCATTAAAGACCATTTTCCTTTTCTTTCTCTCACATCAACACATACACACACATTGGCGATAACCATGGAGAAAAAGATCGGAGTCTTCACCATCTTCACGTTCTTGTTATTCGCCGTCTCCACCGCTCGTATCTTCGATCAGGTCATCGTACTGACTGATGGTGTATCCAAGTCTTCGCCGGAATCAGTCGCTGTCGCCGATTCAGATATCGTTCTTCCGAACGAGAAGCCGAAATCGGAATTCGATGAAACCACCGCTAATGATCGTTTGCAGGAAATTGAGAAGACTCAAACGCTTTCGATTGATCCAACGCAACGTCTAAATTTTGCCAGATTACATCCGATCAAGCGTCACGTTTTTGATAAAACTACTCGGATTCCACTCAGATTCGTCCGACGTCATCCATGCCGGAAGTTTGAGAAGACGTTCATGATCCCTAGAACCGAGAGATCGTATGGCGACGACATGATCTCATCCGATAAAGCCTATAATTTTGATCCGAAAACGTTAGGCGATCAGGTTCCCACGAAGTGGCTGGAATTCAAGCACAACTACGGACATCACCACAACCACCACAACCACCACGATCATCACAATGACAAAGAGGAAGAATTCGTACCAAAGTACATGTTCGACCGAGAGAAGATGCTTCACTCGTCACGCCACCATAAGGAGAAGAGAGAAAACAATGGCGGTTTCAATTTCATGAAGCGCATTCGCAAGTTTTTGAAGCACACTTTTGATTGATGAATCTCAGATCCGGAGGTATGTATCATTTGCGTGTATTATTAATCCCTAGGAATGGCTATGATATCTTCATCTAGAACACGTATGTATTATATACCATGTTGTAACCACTTGTTTCTGTATACAAGAAGCCCTTTTTAGTTATCCGTGAGAGATGTCGCAATATATTTTGATGAATAAAACTTGATGTGTTTGCAGTTTAAAAAATTTGTTAGGATCGGGGATTGGAGATGATACGTTGGACTGTATATACAATTGGAGCATATAAATTACACTTTCTGAATACAATAATAGACCTTTATTGTCTTGGTTGCACGAATTTCGTATTAGGATAATCCAATTGAAAACTCTAAATCTAATCGAGTCCTTGTAAACACCATGGGATCATCGGTTAAAACAGTTAAAGACATAACTGCATAGAGTTATTCAGGAACAGTGACAACTGTCCCAAAATCAAAATCTACGTTAGAGAAAGTAGCTTTGATTGTGAAGATCAAAGGCTCTGGTCACACGAACCACATGAACCAGGCACTCAAGGCCTCGAACTGGAGGCTCTGATCCTCAACACTTAGGGGGTGTTTGGTTAGAGATATTAAGCAATTATCAATGAGAATGAAAATAAAAGAAACTATTTGATTTTCTATAATATAATAGACCCATTCTTTCAAAAGCCCAAAATATCTCCCTGTTAAACCGGAGGAATGAAAATTCATTCTCATTTTCATTCCATGACATTTTCATTTTCATTCCTCAACATGAGTCAAACAGATCCTTAGAACACTCGGCCAAAACTTAGAGCTCTGAGCATGAGCTTAGAGACTGATTTCAACACTTTGTCAAATTTTCACCAAGACTGGGAACAATTTCAAGAAGGTTCCGTCCTTCTGAAATTCGTTCAAATCATCTCGAGACTAAAATTCACCGCCAGGGGTTCTGCCCCTTGCACCCCACAGGGACAGGGGGGCTGCCTTCTTTAACCCCCGCCTGCGGCCTGATAAAGACAACATATGTGAGTTAATGAGTTTGCACTTTAAACCTCGAGATTGATCTCACCATAAATCACAATCACATTACAAAAATTTGATGAAACTAAAATCCAGTAACAAAATTATGTGGAGACTATTATATGAATATGATTTTGGCATCAATTGAAGTTCTTTTCATGTTACAATGTTTTCTATCTATATCATCTTTCAATAATATTACATATAGCAAGATTCAGAAATGAGTGAAGCATTTCCGATTACTGCGGGTAAGCTCAAAACACGGGGACGGGATAACCTGAATAGCACCTCCGCTAACATCCGAGCACTTCCATGGAACATTTCTCGGACCAGTAGGGCCATGAAGATTGATGTTAGATAGGCAAATATCCGTAAAAGGGGAGTTCTTTAAACCCATTATTAGACCAGCTTGCTGGACCTTCTTTCCCCATACGTTTGTGATCCTCACATGCTTTATGACTGGTAGTGCATTCCGATTGTAGTTTTCATCAGGATGGTCACCAACGTCACCAGCGATCTTGATTCCTTTACGAGCATTCACCATGTAAACATTGGAAACGGTGATGTTTCTTATGATTCCGCCCCTGCCGATGTTAGTCTTTAAGTGGATTCCAACTCCCATATGGTTAAGAGTTATATGCTCTGCGAATACATTATATACTCCACCGGATGTTTCACTTCCGACTGCAATTCCGGCGAATGGACAGGATCCACTGACTCGACGGATTGTAATATCGTGGCTAGGACGACCATATGCGATCCCATACTCATCCCACCCGCTTTTTACAGCCACTAGGTCATCTCCTGTGGAGATGTAGGAGTCTTCGATGCAAACGTGGGAGCTTGAATCTGCAACAATGGAAGAAATAAGTAATTATGAGCCTAGTACAGGCATTTGGACTATTTAAGAAGTGCTCGTCTCACATTGCCAGCTTGCCAGATCGTTAAGATTGCTTTTATGTAACAAACCATGGAATCGTAACAAATCAATCTCAACCGTTCATTTAGTCTGGCAAATATTTGGTTTCATAAATATATCGATTGTTTCCTAACATAAAATATTAATAAACTCTAATCATCTTTCATAAATATTCAAATCACAATAAAGAAATAAATATCTTAATTGATCGGTTTGTAACCTTTCCATGTAGAATAGGGTTGGGTTCCAGTGATAATGAATGTTGTTATGGTGAGAAGGGTAAGAAAGATCTCCATCATTGGATTAATCCTAATCGAAGAGAAACACTTCATCGAACAATTTCCTTTTAAAGCGCAATTCATGGGTTGGTTTGAGATTAAAGGTGATTAAAGGTCCCTCCTTACTTCGTTTGTTAGATTTACATGGTTTATGAAACAACTTTGGCATATATATACACATATTTGGTTTGGGCACCCTCCTTTGAGGTAGCTTTTTGGGAATGAGTTCTACCAGGCCATTTTTTACTACATCAGAATTGCAACATTTTACATTTTTTCACATTTTTGGCATCTTCAAGTTACAAGTGTCAAAATGTTCAAAAATTAAATCGATGGTATTATTTCGGGTTCTAGAATTCTCCTACTTTATTGTAATTGAAGATGTATTAAACTTTTGACATAATAGCTGGAACATTTTCCTAAAATCATGGCATGTTCCTCTGCACAAATTCATTTCTACCCTTTGCAAAACATAGCGAAGACTATTGTACTCGTAAAGGAATCCGTAAATCTTTCATATTGCGTACCTGGGTCAATTCCATCTGTATTTGGAGAGTCGGATGGAGCCAATATGGTGACATGTCGAATAACAACATTGCTGTTTTTATATGAAGACAAACTAAAAGATTATGTTCGTAAACTATGCATCTATATTTTGATACATGGTGCGAGTAAAAGATGCATACAACAGGGTTGTTTGTGAAGTTTTCTTTGGAAGTACATATATTCAAATTTTACCATGGTAAAACCATAGTCATGATTTTGAATTTACCATAGTCATGATTTTGAATGAAGTTGTAATGATAAAAGATAATATTCAAATTTTACCATGGTAAAACTATAGTCATGATTTATGAATGAAGTTCTGGTGATAAAAGATAATATTCAAATTTTACCATGGTAAAACTATAGTCATGATTNTACCATGGTAAAACTATAGTCATGATTTATGAATGAAGTTCTGGTGATAAAAGATAATATTCAAATTTTACCATGGTAAAACTATAGTCATGATTATGAATGAAGTTCTGATGGTAAAAAATAATATTCAAATTTTACCATGGTATGTAGTCATGATTTTGAATGTTCTGATGATAAAAAACCTAATATTCAAATTTTACCATGGTAAAATCATAGTCATGATTATGAATGAAGTTCTGATGATAAAAGATTATGCTAGCAAAGTACCTGCAGTATACAGGATGAATATTCCAAAAAGGGGAGTTCTTGAAAATCACGTTAGAGATGATGATGTTTCTAGAGTCTTTGAACTCGATAAGATTTGGTCTAGTGTATTGCAAGGTTCTCTGTCTCCACATGTTCCACCAAATCCCACCTTGCCCATCAATTGTCCCATTCTCACCTAAGAAAACAATTCATCAGATCAAAAGAAGATGCAAATGGAAGTCGATACACCATTTGAAGGATGGGAATTTTCCTACATACCCGTAATAATTACATCATGGACACCTTCTCCATGGATGAAACTCAGATATCTTCCTCCAGGACGCTCTCGTCCTCTTCCATATGAAGGCAACGGAGCAACCAAAGGCCAGTTTGCTGTGTTCTGAAGCATAAGTTGCAAAAAAACACATTTGTCAAACCAATAGATATAGATCATAATTCATATAGAATAAACTAATTTCTTATTTTTGAATGAGACATGAATGGGTAACAATTCCATGTGGCTCTCATTTCATTCATCTTTTTGTTGTTTTTTACCCACATTTAGGCCAGGACATGACTGAGCTTCTTAGACAAGATTGGTAAATTATTAAACTACTCATGTCAAATTAAAACCCTAAAACTTTTTTCTTCCATCTGTCTACCTCCTTCTAGCCCGTGCAGTCTAGTCCACGTATCATACGCACCCGAAGGGACTAGGTAATGTGATCTGTTGGGGTTTACACTTTATCCGTCCAAAAAGAGTCCCTAATTCTGTTATAAGTGTACTTAAACAAAAGCACTTTTGAGTTCAACTAGGTATTGAACATCAATTTCTTTGGATCAGTTGCTGCTGTAACCGATTCTTGCATAGATCACTAAAGCAAAACTTACCTATTAACCAATGGCAATCAGCATAGACATAAGGGAACATGTACAATATAATCTGTGGGGTTTAACAGTCTTTACTACTTCATCCATCCACAAGGAGGCGGACCCATAATTTTTTTAAGTGGTGACACAATTTGACTATTAAAAAACATCTTTTTTTTTCTTCGTAATATTAGTATAATTTTGTAGGTTGGTTTTTTGTCCTTATATAGAAAAGACTAATGTTCGAGTCGAGTCTGGTCTACATATATTTTTAAAAGCACATGATGTATATAAAAAGGACACCAAAATATAAGCTAAAACATAACAAGTTCGACAACTGTAGGACTCAAACAGGGCCTTTTGTACAAAGACGGGAGCATTTATCATCTTAGCCATTAGAGTCGTGTGTTAACATTTCAATTTCAAAAACTATACGGTGACACCTTCAGAAACCCAATTATTTCTCATTACGATGGAATCATAAGGCATTGACCCATGTCACCGTATCTATCCATGTGGCCCCACCCTGCATCCAAAAGGAGTCTCTATTTGAATTATAAGTCTTACGAACAAAAGCATTTTGAGTTAAATATTACATCAAATGTTTTTCTACTAATAGGAATTGCTATGAGTTTGATATGATAGCGTGGACTTGCACCATCCAAAATAACTTATCTTAAAGGAAATGAATATTTTAGGGTGTGCATGGGAAAACAGTCCCGAGTATTCTGAAACCAATGCAACTTTTAATGCTATCCACATTTCCCCACATTTTGTTATTGCATTCCTTTATATAGCTGTAAACCATGTATTTTCCAATAACCTGCACATGCTATGAGATCCCAAATGCAACTAGGGGGACTCACTTTTCTTTTCCAAATGTTTACGCTACCTCCTCTGCTTTTTGACTCCACAATGGTCTCAACCTTTGGTTTCCTTGAGTATTAAGTGGAAAAGTATTATTCTCCACAACCAACTTTGCTTATGCACACTTTTATCCAATATATAAGGCTATTCCAAAATTCTCTTAGGACCGTTTATTAAACACATACGCGGTAAGTGATTACAGAGTAATTTTCCTTGGCGGATGAACATGGCAAGGGTCAAAAATCTTACACGATAAGAGCAATGATAAAGATGAAGAGTCTATCTTACACGATAAGAGCAATGATAAAGATGAAGAGTTTTACTCGGTAAGTGAAGATAACGACTCTTACCCGGGTAAGTGCTTATCGGAAAAATTGTTGCATACGATACCACTTTAATGTACGACAATCTTGCCCAATAAAATAAATTATATTGTTGACTCCTAATACAAAATGCTTACCGGATAAGCATTTAGGTAAACGGCCCCTAAGCTTGCACTACCTCAGTCTCATATTTTTTTTTGTTAGGGAAATTGGCCAAAATAGCGGATCTCCCAACCAAATTCACCTTTTAGCCACTTTTGGTATCGAATTTCCATTTTAGCCAAATTAACGCAAATGCTTTAAAGATGCCAAATTATTTCCATTTGGCATCGAATTTCTATTTTAGCTAAAAAGAAAAAACATTATTTATGCAATGGAGATCCTTGTGCAAATTCTTTACACAAATGTGAATCCTTATGCAAATTACGCAAACTTGAGTAAAGATTTTTGTTTTTTTTTTTAATCTGAAAATAGGTTTAAGCAAATGCATTCTAGTTAAAATGTGAAATTGATTGAAAAAATGGCTAAAAAATAAATATGGTTGGGGAAATCGGCTGTTTTGATCGATTTACCTACTCTTCCACCAACTAAGCTAGATCTGATAGATATTAGTTTGAATGGCAGATTAAGATATTGAATCATTCTACTCTCACAAAAGTTATCAGAACATCACAAACTGAACATGGTGATTGATGCACTGAACTTGTGGAATCACTAACATCAGATCGTTGTTTGTCAAATATCTAAGCACCGTTGTTCTCCTTTTTTTCCAATATACCATATAACTAGCTCAATAGTAAAATGGAATTCATATATGTAGAGTAAATTTGGTAATAAACATGGAGAATAGATCCAGGAACTGAGAATACCTGTGTGGCTTTGATAACAGCACCGTTAGCCAAATACAGAGTCATACGACTAGTAAGGTTGAAGCTCTCTGTTAAATAAACACCTGGAGGTATGTATAGTAACGTCCCTCCTCTCCTCTTCAAATGCTTAATCCTGTAAATCGCCTCATTGAACGCTTTCGTATTCAACGTCCTCCCATCACCGACTCCACCGAAATCCGTTATGGATATTTTATCATTCCGATACACCATCGGTACAATTCCAGAACACGTAACCTCGTCGGCAGCAACCGAGCAGCATTTCAGAATCACTAATGCAGTCGAGAGGCATGCTAACGTTTCCCAAACACATCGACGAACCATTTCCTGTTATTAGATCAAAACTTCATGTGCGTTTGAATCAGTTTCGATAGTTTTTTCCTTCTCGTGAATATGAATCGATATAAATAGCTAAAATAAAAGACAAAAGGTGAAATGAAACGATATTAATGAATACCAGATTCCGATGAAGAATATGACGATATCAGCAATTTTGTATAATGATCCCGGAAATCTGCAATTAGTTGATGATATTTATGTATCACTTATAGATTGAGAATGAGAATTTACCCATAAGAAAACCGAATTTACTTACCGAGCAAGAGATTGGGAGCTGAGACGGTGGAATTTGGTGGTTGTCCAGGCGGAGAACGGAGGCGAGGTTCGAAGTAGTAGTTAAGCAGGTGGTTTCTGACTTTGTGTGCAAGCATATGTCTTCTTGTTTCCCTTACTATAGTGTGTGTGTGTGAGAGAGAGAGAGAGAGAGAGACAGAATGAGAGAAGAACGTGGCGGACGCATGTGAACGGGATGGCCGGAACGTAATTATAAAACGCACACCATTTGCTCCGTAGATGAGTAACGGTTTGATTTGTATTATAAACGACGAAACGAAGCAATTGTTGTGTAAATAATATAAACCGCGTGTCTTCTTCTTCTTTATTTTTTATTTTTATTATTATTTGTTAGAATAGTATTATTGTTAATTAAAAAATCAATAACCATTTTTTATATCCAGTTTTGAAATTACAAGATGATTATCATAATTTGAAAAAAAACGTTTGAATTTGGTCCGTTTTTCCAACAACCATTTCCGTTAAATGAGAAACAATTTCATTCTTTTTTCAAGTTTTTTGTCTTTTATCCAACCAAAAACCAAAACGGCCAAAATCATAAAATCGATTTCAATTGAGTGAAAGAGAAAAAATAATAAAAAGGAAAAAAATGTATTTTATTTAACAGAATTTTCAACCGTCGTTTAAAGGAAGGGATCAAATTTGAACATTTTTGCAAACTATGATGATTATCTTGTAACTTTAAAATTGCAAGGATGAAAAGTGTTATTTTCAACAAATCACCTGCACCAGATTTGTAGTTTACTCAAAATATAGTTATGATCTTATGATCATTTAAGGACAAAATAATTAAATTTAAAGATGTAATGAGATCATCATAAGAAAATAGAGTATTAGAACAGAGATAAAATTCCCTCTCAAAAAAGAAAGGATATAAAATTATTTTTTATTTTAAACAACTATTTATCTGATTCTGAATTTTCAAATTACTATTATCATTTAAAAAAAGCGCAAGTTTTCAAAATGAACTCTACAACAATCATTTATAACCGTCACCCACTAGGACACCGCCAACAAACACACAATGGCCCTCTGAAAGTTGAACTTTAAGGTCCGACAAGTCTTTTCAATTTTTAAGGATTCTTTTAAGATATTACTAGAGATTTTCTTTACTGTTCTTCACAGCTCTTTTGATTAATTGAGGTGTGCATGAACTAATTCGAACACCCACGGTTGAGAAAAGGAACATCATATAAACATGGTCATTATAACACAATGGCACTACATTTGAAACAAAATTTACAAAAAGTGATTTGCAAAATTTCCTATTCTACTTATTTATGTTCTAAAAAAACAGTGACAACTTCTTAAATGCCCCCGAACATTGTGGATTTTGTTGTGGGCAAGGACAAAGTGATTGACAATGAACTTGAAACACAGTTCACAAAGAGGAATGAGATTTACTAAACACGATCACAATTATTGTCCATTTAGGAGCAAGAAACTCTTATCTAAAGTTATATGCACATAGATGGGAGATTGTCCCATTCAGTCCGGTCCAGTCTACTACTAATATCTTTGCTTCACACTCCAACTATGGACTCCGTTCGGTCTTGCACAGCCAAGCGCCCCGAGACATCAGCCAATGACTTAAGGTTACACTTGATGAGGGCCTCCACAAAATAGCATGTCTCATCTTTGGTGTTGCCATTTGGAACGTCTACGACAAATGATTCTATCACCAAAGTCCCTGGCCTCTCGTCAATAATCTCTGGATGAAGGGTAATGATCGACGAGTAGTTCTATACAAATTTATTTCACCAAATAACCAATAATAATTACCCAATTATAGGAATTGCAATAAGAAAACTAGATCAAACTCAAAAAGCACACGAGAGATGCAGATGCATAAAGAGATCATGGTAGTTTAGTATTGGCAATCAGGAACAGAATGCCAAACTTTTTAAAGGTAATGTTAAATGCATCACCTTTATGTCAGAATCAAGTCAATTAATACATTGGAGATGTAAAAAGTAGATCTTGATGTTGATGTGTGTGACGAGAAAATTTGTAGGTAGAGATGCATTTAACAATATATAAGGATGCATTTAGGCCCATCCCTTCTTAAATCTACAACTTTCCAACAGTTTTCTAGGAATTCCTAGAAATTTATAGGTAGAGATGCATTAAACAATATATAAGGATGCATTTAGGCTCACCCCTTCTTAAATCTACAACTTTCCAACAGTTTTCTAGGAATTCCTATGTATGGAAGTGACATTCTTTTGTTCAGCGGCAATATTATCAAAACTAATAGAAGGTCATTGATATTAAAAAAACATGTCTTTAAGCTCATTTAACCAAAAGACCCATTTGGATTGAATTGTACCATGAAATTTAAAGCAAAACCACAACTACTAAAACCGAATCAGCAGAATAATTGTCATCACATAGCGCGGAGGTTTGAGATGTATGTGTATGTGTTAGAGAGAAGAGAGATACCCGAAGCCTGTGATCACCACCAACTATTCTCATGCCCAAGATATGCTCTTCTTCGTTGAGAAGCTCCAACCTCTCCATACTCGTGGTAGCGGGAAGCCCGGATCGAACATTCACTTCTCTGACACTCCCAATTTCAAGGTCGCCTTGCACATTACATCCGCTCACGAAGGGTTTGTACTTTTGCGGTTGATCAAACCTCCTCACTAAGGACCATACCTTAAAACCAAGTAAAACATTCAGTCAGATTATTTGTTGATCAAATTTTAAGCTTTTCTTTGTTCTCATTTATTATTACTTTCATAGGCAGATCAACCATTGAAGTTCTCTTTATCTCCAAAAGATCCTAAAACACACACCTTTTGATATCAAGTCCCTTGAAGTTTTTCCATTACAAGAAAATGGGATCAAAATGAAAATGAAAATGGAAATGAATTTCCATTCCTCCAACTTCACCGGGAATGAAGATTTGGGCTAGTAGAGAATGAACTCATTATATTATATAAAATCAAACAATTTGTTTATATTCAATCGCATTAATGGTTGCTGAATACCTCTAACCAAACACCCCTCAGACTTCACATATGCTTTCGCTTTTAATTAGGTTTAATCATTTCATCATAGCTTCATTCTCTCATCTTGCACCCATTGCAGCAGCCATTAATCATACTAATTATCATGTAATCATCAATTAATTCATCTTCACAAATCCAATGCTAGTGATCATGTCTGGAAACTCAGGGACCACCAACGTGACACTCTAATACTGACACCCTTCCACCAGAAACTAAGAGAAATTATGTCGAGCACAATGATCCCTTTGCTGATGTTCAATATCACATATATATTAAGCATAATAAGCGTAATTTAGCTTGTATGGAAGCACTGGCTTATTGGTTCTGGGTTTTGCCGGATTCTGATTAACCTGAGTACCTGACCCTTACATGTTGATGGTTAATACATTGGCTGCAGTCGGTAGTAGCAGCAACAAAGTGTTCATCTACGAGAAAAGCTGCAATGGTCTGAAAATCAACTAGGCCATGGAAATGGTGTTATGTTATGCCAACAGTCTTAGCTTATTCGACAATAAGACTTGGGCGTTCAGCAGTGGCGGATGCAATAGCAAGGAGGGGGAGCGACCCCAGTCAAAAACTAAAAAAAAAACATAGGTTTTACATGATTTACCTTTCACTTCCCAAAATTACATTTTTCGACGGACCCCCAACCCCAATCGAAACCATTACTCTAACCAAAAAAATCTATTGAAATCAATCAAAAAAAACTAAAAAAGTTATTCGAAATCGATAAAAACACCAAAAAATCCCTCAAAATCAACCAACAAACTTTAAAAATCCCTCGAAGCGTTGTAATTAGGTTAAAAACACATCGGACGATTTTGCGGGCCTTTAGTCTACCTTAAAGGTGACCCCACTGAACAAAAATCCTGGATCCGCCACTGACCTTCAGGGTTTCTCTTCATAGATCACCGGTTTTGATTCCTCAAGATCACCAGGGACTTTTTTTATTATTAACCTGGATATCCAACCCGCTATGCGAGCTGACTAATCCCCGTGCGACCACCTGTTTTGCAGATAGCCCGGAGTCACCGCATTTGAACCTCCATGGCCACAAGGGGATTTTTATTCCTCCTTGGATTTGAACCTGAGAACTCCTGATACTTTTTACCTTTGGAGCGAAACTCAAACCAATCAGGCACCACCCTTGTGGTTATTACCAAAGATTTTTCTGTCTGTTCTTTAGGACCCTCTAGAATTAGTTGAGGCGTGATTAATACACACATAAAAAAAGGAACTTAACTATGCCATGGTATTTAATTACCGACTTAAACGTTTTTTTAATCATTGCTGTGGTATTTGAAAGAAAATTAAATGGTCGTTTTTGAGATGTATTTGTCTTTTAGACCAGGAGGGGGGACCATATGAACCACTTTATTGTCACTGATCCACCTCCATAAATTTTGTCCTCTGTATGCTTCCTCTAGGTTCCAAGACAATTTTGGCATATTCCCTCCATTTTAAAATAATTATATATTTTTAGCAGCCATAAAGGGCCAACACTTTTAAATTGTACAACACAAGTGCCTAACGCATTTGGGTGTGAGATCAAATCTTATTCTACCATAGATTTTCTATAGGCTTGTAACCTAATTGGGTTGCATCAAAATAAAGTGGTTTAACATCACCTTCCAAAATATCCATTAAAACAATTTAAAATTTGAAACAAAAACACTCTTATTGGCTATCACATATGAAAGGATTATTTTCTTACCAAATACAAATATGATTTTCCAGAGATATTTTATATTTTTTAAATAAAATATGAAAAATTATAATTTCTAAGAAAAATTACATTCAACTCCATGTCTCCAACAACTAATTTAATTTAGAGATTCTAATATTAATTATATTATCTCTAGTTTAACATACTTTTTAACAAAGCATTTAGGGGGTGTTTGGGATTGTCCATGTGCAACGACTTATACTTTCCTTAAATGTGTTTATCAACTTATTATAAGTTAGAATGATTTAACTTATTTAAAAACTTCTTATTACTGGTTTAACACTGGTATAAGTTGTTTATCCAAACACTCAAAAATGATTATTACCGATGTCACATCGAAATAAGTCAATAAGTTATTTTTATAAGCAATCTCAAACACCCAGTTAAACAAAAAAAAAATCCTAAATCTCCAAAAATCTCTATTCTAGAAATTTGTTGTGCTAATTAATGAATGTTAAAACAATCAATGGGACGAAAGTATATATGAATCAGCTCAAAGTAAATTGAAATAATCAAGAAATATATCTCAGAAGCGCAGACGTTGATTATATCCATAGACAACTAACTACCAGACGTAGCTGTTACTTGTTCTATGTATCAGTAATTAGATCACGAACAGAAAAGACAGACTTTCCAATTCGAATACTCCATTCTACGAAAGCATGCATTGAGATTACTATAAATTACGGAAATCTCCGTCTCAGATCCACGAAATTAAAGTATTCAAAGATTTGAGATCTTACAAGATGAACAGGCGCTTTGATGTGTTTTACAATCGATGAAGTGCACTGGTTCTCTCTAACCTCATGCTTATGGTGTCTTCTAATGTAATCGTACTCCGACGAATCTGTACCGTCATATTGTCCGGTGATCACCATCGGAAATTATCAATAACAACGACGACAAAAAAAAGATCGTCGAGCAATCCGTCACCGGAATTTATGGATATGACAACAAAAATCTCAAAGGTCGGTTGATTCGTTGAGATTTTCGAGATGGAATAATCACATCACCAATTGGGGGTTTCTGTGTGCCTTAACTGGCTTTTGGTTCTTTCTCATCCACATCTCCCTTTTCTCACTTCACCAATTTCATGTGATATTAAATTAGTCGTAATATCTACTTAGCCCCTGCACTACTAAAAATCCTCTATTTTAACCCTTCTGTTTTCAAATGTTTTAATATTCTATCCTCGATGGTGAAATTCCAATATCCGAAAGCATCACTAACTTACGCTCTGACCCTAATAGCATGGGGCACATAAAATCCCGTGCGAATCAGAAAGGACGATCTTATATCATTTAGGGCTCGTTTGATTTACGAGATTTCGTGGGATTTGGAATTAGATTTTATTTCAGTCTCGTGTTTGGTTTAAAAGAAAGTCTGGAATTAAAATCTCGTGATTTCAATGAAATCCCACAAACATGGGATTTAGAAATCCCATGGGGTAGTTGGTGCTAAGTGGGATTTCCTAAGATTTGTTTATAGTAATGTTTTAAAATTCGTTAAAAATACTTGTTTTCTAATAATCAATTAATAAAATTGTTATTTAATTATTTTTATAATTTGGTTTTATAATTTTTTTTTATTAACGTGGATATCCAACCCGCTATGCGAGCCGACTAATCTCAGGGCGATTACCTGCTTTGCAGATAGCCCGGAGTTACCGTATTTAAACTTTCGTGGCCACAAGAGGATTTTTATTCCCCCTTGGATTTGAATCTGGGACCTCCAGGTACTTTTGATATTTGGAGTCAAGCTCAAACCAATCAGGCACCACCCTTGTGGTTGGTTTTATAAATTATTTATAGTTAACACAATTCAATTTCTTTCCAAATCCTACAAATCAAACACAAATCATTCCACGAAATCCAAATCCATAAAAAACGGTCAAACCAAACGGACCCTTCATTGATTTTCATGAGATGAGAATAACGGAAAATCTGTCATGAACATTCAACAATATAGATTCCAATCATTTATATAAATTCCGATCATTCACAAATAATACAATAAAAAACTTAAAAGTTATCGAGTTGGGGTCAATAAATTAGGTAAATGATCTATAGTTCGGCTCATAAACAAGCTTATAAAGTATGAACATTGTGTCATATGTGTAACAAAAAGTTGTTAAACAATCATTGAAGGTATTCAAGCTCGATCAATGTTTTGAATAAATTACTCGAGTTTCAACATGACATAATTTTTTCAAACCAGGCACAAACAACTTACTACTTGGCTCGACTTGTTATCTTCCTTAATAATGAAGGCTTTTAAAAGTTTCATTCCAAAAAACCCGCCAACCAATGCATCTTATAAAGCCCTTTCGCACTCAGAACAAGAAACAATTCTCAACCACAAGGGTGGTGCCTGATTGGTTTTAGCTTGGCTCCAAATGTCAAAAGTACCATGAGGTCCCAGATTCAAATCCAAGGAAGAATAAAAATCCCCTTGTGGCCATGGAGCTTCAAACGCGATGACTCCAGACTATCTGCAAAGCAGGTGGTCGCTCTGAGATTAGTCGGCTCGCATAGCGGGTTGGATATTCAGGTTAATCCAAAAAAAAAAAAATTCTCAAAGTTACGACCAAGAAAATGGTGCCATTTGATACAAATGGATTCTTCAAAAAAATCAAAATGGTCATGAGTTTAAGACTGAATATTGACAAAAAATACGTGCAATAAAGATGATGATGATGGGCGATGGTTGCTTCATAGTCAGCTAGACGATTTCAAATAGATAGACAATGAATGAATATGATAAACTTGGACTTATGCATCGTAATTGGAATCTCGATCCAGAAAACTTCAAGGATCTTGAGGAAAGAGAAGGCGAGTGAAAGAGATTGCTCAATGTGACACAAAGGTTAATGCTAGAGACAAATGCAATTGTCTTCTTTCAAAAAGAATTAAAAATGAAGGGGTTAAAAAGAATCATTTTGAAATAATACAAGGGTGAGATGAAAACATTTTATGCTAGAAAACGGAAAGTAGGGGGTAAAAATGACAAAAATGGAAAGTTGGAGGGGTGAAATTGCTTATACATAAAAATGGGGTGGGAACAAAACGATGGGATTGGGTAAGAGAAGAAATTAAAAGCAGGGTTGGATTTTTGTGGCAAGTACGTTGTATTGACCCTTCTTTCTCTTTCCACTTTAAGGTTTTCCTTTTACTTTTTCTTTTCCTTTTTTATTCAGTGTTAGCGACCTCATGGTTAGCTTTTTACACCCCCCCCCCCTTTTTTTTGTCGTTTTATCTTGATGCTTGTATCATTTTGTCTTTTCTCCAATAGGTTTTTTGAACCATTATATATTTTTTAAACTAAATTCAGTGCCCGATGCCCTTTTCCAATACTTATCATTTTACTATCTTTCAATATATATATATATATATATATATATATATATATATATAACGGTTATTTAGGGGTTTTAACTGGTGATTCAGTCTGTTTCTCATAACGACTAAGAACATACAAATAAAAAATTTCACTTCGAATTTCGGGCCTCAACATCCTGTTGTTCATCGTCGAAAGAGAAACAGGTAGACAACTCTTATCTCTTTCTTTTGTATGATAAAAGAAAGGTTTGAAACCCTCTCATTCTTAAAGTAATTGTCTCCGTCCCGCTATTCCTATGCAAAGAGTACGCGACCACAACACACTTTTGTCCTTTTTTTTCTTCTTGTGCACCTTTGCTTGGATATGATCTACATCTACCATGTGACATATGCTATGGGGTTTGATTGCAAAGGGAGCGTAAATGCTTTGAAGATCAACGAAGACAAAGCCCGTTGCATGTTGACATTTTTGACTCTTGAACGTTTAAAATGATGTCATTTCACATGACTGCACAAGTCGTGCTAGTTATTTTCACATAGGTGTGTGGACGTTTGGCACATGTGTGTGAAACTTGCGATATATATGGCACAATCGTCCAACACCTTAGCATTTTTCATGTGGGTTTGTAAAAGGATTGAGACAGTCAACATGTGGGTATGTTATATGACTGTGTGAGAAGTTGTCACGCATGTGTCGTATGTAAAAGCTGATCACTGACCTAATCATCACAACATATTTTATGCAGGTCGTGTTGCAAAGGGGAGTACCCATCATAAACATCCAAGTGAGCTTTTTGTTTAAACATGATGTACACATCTCTAAATAAATATGTAAGATCCCACATCAGTTGGGGGAGAAATAAAGGTTGCCTCATAAAGGAGTAGATACATCATTTACTAGACGTGTTTTAAAACCCTGAGTATATACCTCATCTAGATATGAATAAAGCGAACAAATATATGGTAGAGTTAACTTGGAAGGTTTTGCAATATGTGTGGTAGGGATAAATATATGTGTACATTGTAAGTGGTAAATTTGAAGGGTATGTTGGTTCGGTAACGAGTTAAATATCTTAAAATCAAAACGGATCAAGTTATATGACGAATTAAAATGGGGCGAGTCAAATTGTCAACATTTTTCTTTATCAATTTTTAAAATTTCAAAATTAGTAGGTACATTAGCCATTATCTTAAAATTATGATAAAAATTAACGGGACTTTAAAAAAACCAATAAATTATCGCATTTTGAGCGATTAATTTTTTGAATAAACGAATCACCGTGTAATATTTTAGAGAAAGATTATCGACATGCCTGACGAGGACGTCATGCATTTAACTTACAAACTCATCCCACATGGATAGAAAATGGAATTCGTGAGCTCCTTATAAGCCTCGAGTTAGGTTACTAATAACTTCTACCATAGTTTTAAGCTGAATACAAAGTTATTGGGCTAACTTGTTGCTTTGGAGGGTTACACCAAAAACTTTCTGAAATCAAACACACAAATCATTGAATTTGACAAAACCGAGAAAACCTAACAAACTTACATATTTTGAGCGATTAAATTCCTGAACATTTTTTGAACAAACAATTCCTCAAACTTGTTTATTTTTTCAGATTTAAATGACAATCATATGTGTTTGTTATGATTATATGATTGTCATTTGAATATGAAAAATGAAAAATTACTAAATTCCTTTTATGATTCCCATTTGAATTTGTAAAATAAATAAATGAATAATAAAAATGGTATTTAATCATTTTTATTGGATTACTATTCTTGTTATTGGTCTAAATACATCGATTGAGAAACGATATATTGCTTTCATTTATTAAGAGTAAGGATTTATTCGTTAAAAAAGTTCAGAGATCTAATCGCTCAAAATATGAAATTTATTCATTGGGGGTTTTTCTTGGCTTTAGTAAGGAGCTGTTTACCAAACACTTAACTGAATAAGCGTTTACCGAGTCACATTACCTTACCAGATGCATATAGCAATAACCAATAATCTTACCTGGTAAAAACGAAGGAAATGTCTGAGAGTCTTACCCGGTAAATGACGGCGACGATTCTTACCACGGTTGGTGTTACCAGGTAAATTTTTGCATATAATGCCGTTTTGTCGGACTAAAATCTTACCCGTTAAGTAAGCGATGATGTTAAATTTTGACAGTAAACGATCCGTGTGTTTAATAATTTATTTGTTCAATTTCAAAAATTCAGAAATTTATTTATCCAAAAAATAGTTTAGGAAATTAATATTTTGACATTTCATTTGTTTTTTTAAGACCTTTTCTTTATTTTAATCTATACTGTATTATAAAACATTTGACAAAAACTCTTAAAAACCATTTTTTATGCGTGAAGTACTGTTTATTGATGCATATTACTTAAAATTCAAGATTACAAGTAATTTTGCGTAAGTACAGTTTATTAAAGCTTCATTTTTAAATTCGTGTAACTAACTGCAGATAAACATGATTAAATACATGATAAACATTCATTTTAAATATATAAAATCTAAAATATAATTAAGATAATCATTGAGTTCTAACAAAATGTTTAATTATTATTTTTATAAAAAAATTATATTATCAACGGAAAAATCTAAAAAAACCCAATGGACTTTAGTGTTTGGAATGATTAAGTCCTTAGACAATTTTTTTAAAACAAATAAGTCATTGGACATTCCAAAACATGTTAAATAACTCATTGGACAATTTTTTGGAACAAATAAGTTCTTGGACAATTTAAAACATGTTAAATAACTCATTGGACAATTTTTGGAACAAATAAGTCATTGGACAATCCAAAACATGTTAATTAACTCATTGGACTTTTCTAAAACCTGTTGGATACATTCTTATGACTCGTACAACTAGTTAAAGTGATAAAATAGTGACAAAAGTTCGAAAAAAACTCAATGGACATTCATATTTTGAACGATTAAGTCCTTAAATATTTTTTGAACCAAAAAGTATTTAGATCTATAAAATTAAACAAATATAACAAAAAAGTATTTACAATTACAAAAAAATAATTACATTTAATTTTTTTTGATAAAATTTATTTTAATTAAAATTAAAATATATTCTGTCAGTGATTTTTCAAATAAATAATAATAATTTTTTTTAAAAGAATTATTATTAAATTTATTTTAATTAAAAATAAAATATATC